ATTTTACTGGTTTGTGCTTACGTTAATTTATTTATCAGTAAAATTTTAGTGACATATAGGTTTGCCGATAACTATTATAAATTTTACCAGATTTTGCTTATATTCAATTTATTTATCAATAAAATTTTAGTAAAATTCCAGAGACATATAGGATTGCTGATAACTATAATAAATTTTACCGGTTTGTGCTTATAGTCAATTTATTTATCAGTAAAATACCAGAGATATATAGGCTTGCCGATAACTGTTATAAATTTTACCAGTTTGTACTTACAGTATCAGTAAAATTCCAGTGATATATAGGTGTGCCGATAACACTATAGAATTATTTATAAAGTTAATGATTACAACCAGATATAATTAAGCTTTGTCAATATAATTTATTGTAATATTCATAGTTGTATCAGGTGCTCGATATGTAACTGATTTAAAAATAAAAAACCGGAGACATATCGAAACCTGATTTGTCTCCGGTTTTTAACCAGTTGTGCAGCTTCCAATTTGCCTTCATTTGACCTGTGTTACCAAGCTATAACTAGTTTTTCAAGAAGCAAAACAAAATAGGTAGTTTAAATTATACCTATTATTTAGGTATCATAATTGCTGAACTAACCCCAGAATGAAGAATAGTTCAGTAAACAAAGATATGCTCCACTACTTTATGGCTGCTATTCATATTTATAAATATTCAAGCTTATAGGTGTTGAACAAATCTGCCAGACTATTTATATGAACTTGTCAAAAATTGCAATGTTATTTGTTAAGAATATTTAGCAGCTTCTTTAGATCTTCATAACTGCTATTTTTTCTGCATTTGGAAATGACTTAGATGAAACTAATAATAATATAGAAAGTAGTTAAAAAATAAAAATAAAAAAATAATTTTTTTTAAAAAAATATATATCTTTAGTTTCTTTTCTTTTTTATACTTGGTTAGTTCTTTTCTTGTAAAACTCAACTTAAGTTGGGAGTATATAAAAGGGTAAATTGTGGCTTGAAATCATTTTTTGGCATAGTAGATCAAGGTGGGTTAGAAAAAATCTGCCAGATCTAACAGATACATCAGATATGTCAGATATGTCAGATCTATCAGATATGTCAAATTCGTCAGATATATCAGATCTATTAGGTACGTTAGATCTGTTAGATATGTTGAATTTATTATTATTTTTTTTTGTTATTAAGGGAACCTCTTTGGCCTAGAGAACATTTTATTAGAATATACAGTCAACTCCCTCTAAGACAACTCCTCTAAGTGCAAGTTCTATGAAAGATCTTTCTAAATGCAAGCCTTCTCTTGGTCTCAATTACTATTACACCTATAGATTTTTACTCCTCTAAATGCAATATCTCTCTAAGTGCACATTTTGCAAAATTTTTACATATGGTCCTGTTGCATTGCACTTAGAGAGAGTTGACTGTAAATAGAGTTTTATAATGTAGTTACAATGATGGTACATCAAGCCACATGTGCACCTTTTGAGTGCCTAATTTAAGTAGTCCGTCCAAAGGTTCTACACTATCTGCCATACCTGCACCCCAACTAGGAGGGTACTCATTTAAACTATCTAGTTCCAACTATCTCTATTATAACTCTAACCCACGGGTATTACTCACTATATGGTAGTGGGTTTTGCATCTACCCTATTGAAATTAGCACTCTACCTTAGGACTTACTAACTTAAACTAATCTATTCTTAAGGTAAACCTAACAGAGTGGTACATGTTTACACATATATTCATCTGCATATTCTGTAATGACTTCCTAATTAGTACATATTAACCTGCTGTTCCATATTTGTATCTCATGCACCTTTTGGGGTGCTGCTGTTTTACGGACATTTCTTAAGCACCAACCTTTCTAATTAGGTACCCATTACATATTTCTTGCCATTATCTAGTTTACAACAACCCCGATACCCACATTCAGACCATCTTCTTACCCAGATTCTTTATCGGTCTCTTCCTTACTTCCAGTCGGCAACTCGAAAGGATTGGTCTGCCCAGGCTTTAGGTACCTGAAGGATGCCCTCCCCTTGGTCTATACTTTCAGAGCGTATGACCTTTTCCTCTAGTGTGACAATCCAGTGGTTCAGCTGATGTGTCCTCTACTATAGGACCTGGTCACTTGTTCTCCAATCTTAGGCCCCAGTTTGAATTCAGCCCTTCCGTGATACCATCAAAGATCACTACTACCTCCAAATGAGTTTTTGTTTATGCCAGTTCCTTGGGTTTTTGCGCCAAAGCTCCCATTACTAGATGGTGTGACTGAAGTTACAAATTATAGTTCTAGATCCAACCAATAAGCATAGCCATTAACTAAATACAGGCCTATTTTTCAAATATCATTGCCAGTGGGATTTGAACTCTAGACCTGCCACTTGGAGAGGGTGACAACTAGACTACTATACTAAGTCTCCACACTTTGTTGAATCTGTTATATATATTAGATAGATTATATATATTAGATAGAATTAGCGAATTAGATAATAGCTCGAAAATGTATATAAGAGCCAAGAGTTCATCTTGAATAAAGATATCTCTAGCTATTGTTACTTATATTTTATGCATATTTTTATATACATTTGTTCTCTTAACTTTCTGATAAACTATCTATAATCCTGTGATCTAAATTAGAGCTTCATAACATAATCTAGAGCTCTATTTGGCCCTAATAACTCAGATAAGTCTTTTCATGCCTTCTTTTGTACATACCACTACTAGGGTTTGATAGTGTTTAGTGTTTTGTGGTGTTGATTTGGATTAGTTTAGTATTAGTTGATATTTGTAAGGCCTATATTTCGATATTAGAGTTCGCTTTAGCCCCTTACAATATACATACTAGAATTGTTGATGAAACTAAATTGAGCTAATAAAACTGAAGGCTATCTAAAATCTAATTGGCTGTTTATTACAATAACCAATCAGATTTTAGATAATCACCAGCTTCACTAGCTCAATTTAGTTTCACCAACAACTCTAGTATGTATTAGCAATTTTTTGTATTATGTATACAATACTAGGCAAAAATTGTTGAATAATGGTAATTTGGCTCAAACGGACAAATGATTGGCTGACATGTGCTGCACAGCGGCATGTGTCAGCCAATTATTTGTCTGTTTGAGCCAAATTACTATATTCATCAATTTGCCCAGTATTGGTGTTATCCAGCAATTTATGATCATGATTAGTAGGGAGTCCCTCACTGAGTTTTATTTTTTGAATATTGGAATAACATAATTATATTGTAACATATGAAAAAAATAACAAGAAGAAATTTTTTTATGATCATATGAGTTTGCTGGATAAAGTGGTATACTTTTGGATATTTTATATATAAAGTTTGAAACTTTTATATTAATATTAATATGTTAAATCATTATTGCTCAATGTTCCGAATCCACTTTATCTAAGTATTATTTCTTCAAGTTAAGATATGTAGCACGACAAAAAAGTTTGGCATGCCATCTGGCAAAATTTTATTATTCTGGCATGCCAATGGCATGCTAACACTCTACTCCAAGTTGATGTTCCTATTTTTTGACAAGACATTTTTGACAATCTATTTTACCACAATAACTTGATTCTTGATACAAATTTTAATAATAACCCTTTTCACCAACAGGGCCTTTTTCTTGAAATCTTATTTTCTGATAAGAACTATTTCTAATAGCCTTTTCTTCAAAAATAATCTATCACATATATTAATATTATGATATTTAAGAAATAGATTTATATAATAGAAACTATTTGTAAGAGGAGATTGGTTTGATACTAACTATATTAATTTTAAATTTAGATTTATCTTACTAGATATGCCATATAGTTGATATGTAGTTCAAAGTTTTTAACTTGAGCTAATTCCAAAAAGTCGCCATGATGAAGCTTTTTTGTTTTATTTAAATTCAGTGAACATCTGTTAGCAAAAGAGCTTTAGCAATATAGTTTTGAAGAAATAAAATGTCTGAAAAAAGCATCAAATGAAAAATAAGTCAGTAAAATAGACTATTATATAAATAATAGTTAATAACTTATCAGGAAATTTGCTACCAATTAAATAAGATACTATGTCTTGTCAGTATTATGGCTTCAGTGAAAAAAAATAGATCTCAGAAAGTTAACCTGTAACAGAACCCTGAATACTACATCAGCAAATTTATAAGACTGTAATATTTCATAATAATTTACAAAATGTAAAATAGCTATAATATTACATAAGAAATTTTGAAATATTGTGAATATCAAATTACGAAATATTATATAAGATATTTTTGAAATATTTTGAAATATCTTACGTAATATTACAGCTTTTTTACATTAAGCAAAAAATTTTGAAATAATTTGTATACATGGTTTTTGTATTACCAACTGACCTTCCACAACTCGAACACACCACCAAAATCATGTAAACCACCTAGCATCACTGTTAGACATTACTTTCAAATTTCTGTCAAGTAAAAATTGGCGTACGTATGTACATAGCTTCAAAATTGTAAATTAAAGTACTTCATATTTTAATTAGTATTGGTATGATTTTATTGATTAAAAAAAAAAGAATTATCGATGCAAATCAAATTATTTTTATTAATTATTGTATTTAACTTCCATTACGATTGTTAAAATTAAACAACTATTAAGTGCTATATGATTTTTGCATATACCTCGGTGAATACAACACAACGAAAAGTACAAAAAGATTTGTTCTTATAACAAAACAACTCCTACTTTCACAAATTGGTTTATTACAATGACAGCCATCATTTTTCTTTAAACCTTGTTCAGTTTCTTGGTTGGATGTTTCATTTGCAATATTTAGTGGTCGGGTTAGTTTTGTTGAACATCAGCATTTCGTAAAGAAATAAATTTGCCCATTGAAATTACATCAAGTTCAGGAAATTCATCAGTATTTAAGGGTTCTAATTTGTTTGCTGAAAACCATGTATCCAAAATTTAAAACTTGCTTCCAAGCTAATTCAGAAGCTAAATTTAGTGGCAAGTTATTATATATCATCATTTTGATAATTAATTTGAGAATAGTGATAATTTATATTTAAATCTTCATGCAAATCATCTAATAAATAAGCCAAAAATTCTTGAGAATCTTGTTGTTCAAATCCAAAGAATTGAGGAGCAAAACATCCAATGGCTTCTTTAAAAGTTACCAACTTGATATGAGTCGCTCGTTTATCTATTTTTAGTTTTTTCATTAAGATTATAAATCATTTAATAGCTCTGAGTAACATGTCGGTTTGCTACTATGATTATGTTTAATTTAAAGATATTAAGAACCCAATACTTAACTTTAAAGTTCAAATTTTCATGTTTATTTGATGGGTTTTATAAAATAGCCAGGCAACGATCATACTTTGAACGATTCATTATATGTCTTTCATTTTTTCTATTGTTCATGTAATCATTAACGATTTTTTGAAAGCTTTGAAATGAAAGAATGAAGCTATATTATGGAAGAAAAAATCAGTTTTTTTTTTTATAATCAATCTAATTTATTAAACTCATATCTGATATTAAACTTGAGTTTAATTGACATATATACATGTTACGTATAAATTTTATATATAACTGATGATCATATAACTGATAATCATCAGTTTTTTTTTTTAATAATACTATTTTTTTATTTTAATACCAATACACTTTTTTTCTTAATGCACAATTTTTTTTTATTTTAGCTTTTAGTTATTGTGGGTTGCTATTGTTTAGAGACATTGTTGGTGCCATCGTAGCTTGGAGACATCGTTGGTTTCGTTGTAGCCTGGAGACGTCATTGGTGTCATTGTAGCTTGGAGACATTTTTGGTGTCATCGTAGCTTGGAGTTATCGTTGGTGTCGTCATAGCTTGGAGATGTCGTTGGTGTTATCATAGCTTGAAGACATCGTTGGTGTGGATTTCGTAGACATAATCGTTGCCTTTGTGCCATTTTGTTCATCGTTGATGGATATTCAGTACCATATTGCAGCTGCTATATAATTTAGTACCAGTGTACTGTGTTATGTCTCATCTTTGTCCTTTGCGATGTTGTTGAGGTATGATTTTTCACTTATTCGTTCTTGTTTTCTGGCTTGTGAGCATATAGATTTCATTTGCCAAATGTTTTGCTCTAGTTTTCAACTGCTTTACCAATGCATTCTAGTGTTATGAGTGGTGTCTTTTGGCATTTTCTGGAAATTATAGGTTTATTTGTTTCTTGTTTTGGTTTGCATTTAACTAACGTTCTTTTCTCTCCAACTATCATTTTTCTTCTTTTTAGCTTTTTTCGATTTGCTATTTGAGGCACTGTGAGAGTTTGGTTTTGTTGCTTCATCACGATTTGGTCTTTGTTTTCGCTAGTAGCTTCATGGCTTTGTTGTTATGATTCAGTACACTTTGTGAACACATATATTTTGTTTTATAAATAGGTTGTTCTAGTTTTTAAACACGTTTTCAATACATTTCTTTTTTTTTCTAGTGTTATGAGTGGTGTCTCTGGGCCTTTTCTAGAAAGTATAGCTCTATTTGCTTCTTGTTTAGGTTTGCATTTAGCTAATGTTCTTTTCTCTCCAACTATTATTTTTTTTCTTTTCAGCTTTTATCAATTTGCGGCTGCATTATGATTTGGTCTTCATTTTCAGTAGTGAAGTTGTAAGATTCATGGCTTTGTTGTCATGATTCAGTAATTCGCCCGTTAGTAGTAAATTTTGGTATGTTTATTGTTGAGTTTTTTCATCCTGGGCTTTCAGTATTCACGATGTTATAATTAGGATTGATGTAAATTGGGTTTATTGAATAATTAGGAAAAGGAACGAAGCAGAAATGACAGCTATAGCAAAGAGTGAACAAACCAAGCCTTATATTATGGGTGTTGCTAAGTGTTAGCGATGCAACAAAAGCTGTATTTAGTATAATAATAAAGTGGTGTATAGGTGTGCATTGTTATGCATAGCTAGTAGAATTGTTAAAGGCTGTAATAAGTGTTATGAAAGTATTTTATAATAAATGATTATTTAATAATGAGGCAATAATTTGTAATAAAAATTTTCATGTAATGTGGTGATATAATTAATATTCAAATAAATTAATTTTGGTTAAAATACCGAATTATTCAATTATGTAATTAGTGTGCATGCAGACCCAAATTCAAATCACATAAATTGATTATATGATTAGAGGTATGCCAAATTTTAAAACCCTTCAAATAAATTGTGTAATATTCTGTAATAAATTCTGTAATATTACATAATATATTTCGTAATATTACATTATATATCGCACAATATTTCGCAATTTATTGTGCAATATTATGCCCAGACCGTAATTATTGCGCAATATTTTGGGGCATAATAACTTACGCAAGTTTACTGTAATATATTTCACTGATGTAGTATGTTATATATATAAACCTTCATCTTCAAACCTTATATAAGTGTACAAATAAATTTTATTATTGAAGTATACAATTACTTAAACTATGTATTTAAATATATGACAGAAGTTTAATATAAGTTTTCTATACTTTAATAAGTGTACAGATAAAGTTTAACCTAATATTAACTAATGTATAACAAAAATTTAAATTTTTAATTCGTGATCCGCAAAGAACCAGTGATATTAATTAGTAAATTGTAGAGAAATTTACTATTAAATTTTGCTTTTTTTGAAATCTGAAGCTCCCCAAAGAAATTTTTTTCTTTACTAAGTAAACATCTTTTCATTAAAATCGGCCCAGTGAATCACAAGATATAAGTACTTTAGTCTTCGCAACTATATGTTTTCTTCTTTATAAATAAAGAAGAAAACATATAGTCATGAAGACTAAAGTACTTATATTTCACGATCCACTGGACTGATTTTAATGGTTTAACCGCCATTTTGATTGCAAGAAACTCCTCTACAACTTTACTTAAAGCTTGAAAAGATGTTTACTTAGTAAAGAAAAAACTTTCTTTAGGAAACTCCAGATTCCAAAAAAGGCAAAATTTAATAGTAAATTTCTCCAAGTGGATGTTTTCTCAAAAATTTCACCCAACCCTTGCTCGTAATTTATGTTCATTCATTTACTATTCGGAATACATATATTCCTATATATACTGTACGATATACCAATTCAATATAATAATAAGTGTACACTGTGAGAGGACCCTACAATATTTTTTTTTATATTAGTTATTATATTTCTATTTTATTCTATTTTTTATCAATATAAATTATATATTACTTAACTTCGGGTATAGAATTTGTTCAACCACTTCGTGTAGTTGGACTTAACTGCTTTAGTGACTTAAGTCACTTTATTAAATATAGTTGCTTTGTTCTAGATATTAGCTTTAGTAGCTTTAGCTTATTTCATAGTGATAGTAGTTATATGTACTTTCTTCAGTATATTAGTTTTCTCGCTTTTAGTGATTATATGTAATTTATGCAAACCTGTATTTTATTAAGACTGTAAAAGTATAAAAGCGAAGATACTTCGCGCTGAAAATAAAGCAGACTTGGAGTTGAGAACTCAAGTTGAGTAATACTACGAAATAGTAGAAGTCTCCAGTAGTTTGATACTTATCTTTTTCCTTGTTCCAAGCCATTGATTGAAAATACACCTTGATCCAATTGTAAAATTGATAAACCCGAATAAGAGTCTTGATCTTCGAAATCCGAGTAGAAGTATCGACTTTAAGTACCCTAGTTTAGCATAGAACCTTGTCTCTAAGCTTCTCGACCCATATAAAAAGTAGTTAGAAATAAAGAATCGCTTAGCCATTGAAACCCTTAAACATACACATATAGTACCCGTAACGCATTGTTCTTCCTAAATAGCGTCAATCAATTAGAAAGATCTTCGTGGCACATTAAACCTTTAGCGCTAAGCCAAATACAGCCCCCGATCTGCAGAATATTCTTACCCGTGACGTAAGAATCTCAGATCATATTAAACTACCGAACACCGCACCAGTAGATATTCAAGTAACATCACGTGACTCACGTGACAATCGTTAAGAATCTTAACGATTGTATCGAAGCCCGGAATCTGCCCAACCCAAAGTTTAAGGAAAGAGACAACACATAGCTCCCGCCAAAGCACAATAGCAATCATTAAAAGTATAATCTTGGTTTATACTTAACTTAGCCGCCAGATACGCCGCAGCAAGACTCGAGACTCGGACCAAGTCTTTCCACGCCTCTTTCTGCTGGCCAATTCGAAGTCTTTAGGGTCTTGGAATTGAAGAGTAGTTGATTGAGTGATTAGATTAGTTAGTTTTAGTGTTTAACCGTATAAGTCACACCTTCTCAACACCAATCTTTTTTTAATTTTATTAATTAAGTGTACGTTAAAGGTCAAGCAAATTTGCTATCAAAAAGCTTATTTTTGTACACTTATGAACAAACGTTCTAAAAAATTTAGCCTAAGTGTATGACGAAGGCTTTATGCATATATTCAGGGGTCCTCCCGTAACCACGTTAAACCGTAAGAAAAATAGAACCGGTTCCAAACTCTAATCTAACTCTATATTTAAAAATCAAGTCAAATATTTACAACTAACCCGGATCGTATACTGGTCAGGGCAAGTCAGTGATCGCCAAGAGGAAGTTGGCCGGTATTAGAGTTCTATAGAGCGTTCTCAAGCATCGCCTTCGATGGACTAAACAATGAATCTAATTGATCTGTCTGACAAAACTGGCCAATCAAATTCATTATCGAATTTATTGAGATGCTGTTTCTACAATTTGACGTGATATGACATTTAACTATGAGCTTTTCTTTGACTCGGTATTTTATTTAAATATGTGACAAAAAAAATATTTATTAGTAAAGTATAAAATTTATTGCAGTAGGTATGTTAATTTAACTCGTTATAGGCTTAATCGCTGGCTAGTATTAAATTTTAAAATACAATCCTTTATCGTAGTTAATGGACAAGCTATTCATTTTTCTGTTTCAATAAAATTTTTCACAAATAGAAATGATTCGAAGTAGAACAAAGAATTAAAGTTTAGTTTCGTCAGTACAAGGAAAAGTGAAGCACGAAAAAAAAGTAATAACAAAAACAATTGATAATGATAAACAATGTTCATTACGTAATGTACGTACAAAATTCTTTTATGAATTAGCGTTATCAATTACACTAACACTAAAAAAAATCTAATTCAATGCCTTCTAGCCACTTTAACGCAACAACTTTGTACAAATATAGTAGTGATGTTGTACTGGAAGATAGTGAAACATTACAATTTCCAATTACTGTATTCCGACATGCTTCTTTGATCTTTCTATATATGCAAATAATATATATTAAAAAGGCATCGAATATTCGAAAGATTGAATTGAAAAAATTGGAATATTCGATCAACTCCGTTAGAAGCTTCTAGTACATATAAGTTATTGATACAAGAAAATCCATCAATTGTCTATGAGCTTGGCATAACATTGTTGGAGTTAGACAATATGCATGCATATTTTGATGACAATCATGTGGGTACCGCGATGAAGATTCGTCTTATTAAATAAATAAAATAGGTTATTTCTGTGTGTATTCCGATTACTAAATTATGAGATATTACACAATTCGTCACGATATCAAACATTTGTCTTACCTTATTATCAAGCGCAGAAAATTTAGAATAAACACGGAATTATTTTACAAAAATTTAAATATCTTAATATGCAGTAACTGCATAGTAACGACGTAGTAATTACATAATTACTATTAAATTTAATCGTAACTATATGGTTACTATGCAGTTACTACGCATTAAGAGATTTAAAGTTTCTTTATAGTAATATAATTGATGGTTAGAAGTACAGTAACTATTTATTATTGTGTAATTATTTATTGCCAAATAAATCTGATAAGATGCCATATACGTAAAGGTGTGACATCAAAAAGTATATAAATACATGGTTCCAATTAATTTATGTATTTGCGTTTTTTTTAAAAAACAAAAAAAAACACACTTTAAATTATTATTCAATTTTTCCAAAAACTTTTTTTTTTAATCTTATTTTAATAATAATGAGTGAAACTAAGGATGCTATTTTAGGCGCTGCTGAAATAATTGCCGATTCTGCTATCGCCATCTTGGCTGTCTATGTTCCTATAGTCAGTACTATAAATACTATAACTAAGCGAATTTGTGAAAATTACCAGAATGCAGAATGTAATCAACAAATTTGTGGAATTTTGGCTCAACGAGTAAAGAGCGCAGAGCAACTTATAGAAAAAATTATAATAGATATTGGAGGAAATCAAGAAAAATTTCGTAAAAAATCATATTATATGGCTTTTAAACGTTATGAAAATACTTTACAAAATATTGAAGAATTTACTAAGAAAGTATCGAAATATAAAGGTTTTATAAAGTTTTTTACTGCAAAAGTAACTAAAGAAAGATTAAAAAGCTTGACAGAAGACTATGATACATGCATGAGGGATTTACATTTTGCCATGGTTGTCACCAATGAACAAGATAGAAAAGAAGAAGCCAAAAAGGTTGAAGAATCTCTAAATGAAGTCGAAGAAGTAAGTAAAATTATTGGAGATATAATGATAATTTTAACATTTTTATACAGTATGATATTAAAATTTATCAATATATTTTTAGTCTCTCAAGAAACTTGATCTTGGAGTCAATCAAAAACTTGGTTCGATTGTTGCAAGTATAGACCTTTTACAATCCCAAATAGACCAATCTAAGACCGATAATAAATCAAGTGAAATACAAGCACAAAGAATTGATCAAAATGAACTTAGTTGTCCTCACGTAAAAACCGAAGATGATATTCGTGATGGTGGTAGTGTAATTAAAAAGTTTTATGGTACGATTGAAGTTGCATGTAAACACATCATAAATATTAAAAATGTTGAAGGTGAATTAGCAATACTTGGAAAATTAAGTCAATCACCATATATTCTACGTTTTTATGGACTCACAAATTTTGATAACCGTGATTATATGGTTCTTGATTGGGCTAAATATGGAACTTTGAAAGATGTTTATACCAAATTTGATATTCCTTGGACTAGAAAAATAAAAATTATTCGAAATATCTGTCGTGGCCTTGTATATTTACGTAGTTTAAATATTTTCCATCATGACCTCAGGTGCAAAAATGTTTTCGTAAGTTGTAATTAATTAAGTTATTAAATACCATATAACATATGAACACAACAAATTACTAATAAGTTAAATGATAGGTAGGAGATGATTTGGAACCAAAAATTGGGAGCTTTAAAAAATCACGAGTCGCAAATGCCGATAGTAGTAACCTAAGTGGTATATTAACAGATGTTGTACATTGGATGGCACCTGAATTATTAGAAAAATATCAAAGTACTGAATTAAGTGAAATAAGGAATGAAAAAAAATACACTTTTCATTGTGAAGTGTTTAGGTATTTATCGTTTAATAAGGATCTTTGAATTAAGATTTGAACATTATTCTAATTATTTTGTAATTAGTTTTGGAATGCTTATTTGGGAACTTTGTTATGAAAAAATTCCATATGAAGGTTGGAATAATATTAAAGACATCTTTACGCATGTTTTAAGTGGTCAAAGAGAAAAACTTTTACGTGGAAAATTTAAAAAAGAAGAAGATAAAAAGATTCAAGAAGAATTTATTAAAATAATTCCAAAAAGTAAGATTAACCATATTTATTTAATTCTAACATATTTATTTAATTCTTAACTTATTTAAATTTATACTTAATTAATAAATAGCGTGGCAGCATGTACCATATGAACGAATAGAAATTGCAAAGTTAGATAAAAAACTTGAAAAACTATCCGTAAATTATCCAATTGCCTTTGATGAACCACTACTAGAGAAAAATGAAACATTAGATTTTGAAGGAGATAAGGATGAGCAAGTATTCTATACAAGTTCATTAGAAAAACAAGATAAACAGTCAAACTCTATTAAAATCATGCCTACAATCACGCCTCTCGAGGAAGGTCTCAAATATCACAGAGCTAAGCAACATGCAAAGGCATGGCAATGTATTAAAGAAAATGCAGAGATTGGCAATAAAGATGCAAAATTTTGGAAGGGATATTATTTGACTAATGGATATGGTGTTGTTGAACCAGATCCAGCGCAGGCCATGGAACTTTATAAAGAAGCAGCCGATTACGGTCATGTAGAAGCACAGTATCGATATGCAGCTTTACTACTTAAAAATCTTAAAAAAGATGACGATGAAGAAACAAAAAAAGAAAAATGTGAAAAAATTATACGCTATTATAAATCTGCGGCTGATAATAAGAACGCTGATGCAATGTTTTCTTTGGGGGATATTTACCTTAACGGAAAGCTTCGGGAAGAAAAGAATGTGCAACTTGGCTTAGATTATTTAAAATCAGCAGCAAGTCTGAAGAATGAAAAGGCGATTAGCATGTTAGAAAGTTTGAACAAAACTGAGATTTCTGTTAGTTAAATTAACATCAAAGAATTTACTCGAATTGAGGGGTTTCGGGAGAGAATATGATTTTGGTATAAATAGATGACATATTTATTTTCAAATAATCTTTGGTTATCGTTTTTAAAAAGTTTACTAATTTCATGAAATGTGGGCGTAAAAATGTGTATGAATGCATTGGCTCATCTCTAGGAAATGATTCTGATTATTATATTGATTATTTGCGACGCCGTCAATCAAAACGTGCCATAGTGAGATTAAAAAATTGCTAATAAAAATTAATTGTACCATTGAGCGTCATTGATTAATTATCTATGTTAATGTCCGACATTATTTATTATACTGAGTAAGTTGTTACAAATAACACGTTACAATTAATTATATATAACAATTTTTTTAATCTCACTATGGCACGTTTTGATTGACAACGTAAATCAGTTTCCTAATTTAAACTTTTTAAACGTTTATTAGCTTTTATATTATTCTAGACTTTCGAGGTTATCACAGTACAGAATCAGTAAAACAACCTTTTAAAATAATGTTTTTTTATTGTGACTATTTTTCTGAAAAAAAAAATTGTAAAGCATTTCTATATGGAGTGTCTTCAATTAAAAGGGCCCATTTTTACATTTATTTTATTTTGAGATAATTGAGTTTTAATTATTTGTTTTGATATTCGGACTGATCCGGAATTAACCAAATTTCAAGATTTTGATTGGTTAAAGACAGCAGGTAACTATCGGGTAATCTCATGACGTGCTGGCCCTACGCAGCCTCATGTAATTTTTCTTTTACATTATCTTAATTTTTTATTATGCAAATCGACTTTCATTAATAATTAAAAAAAGTCAATCATGTCAAAATTTATATGAATCTAATAAAAACTCAATTTTCAAAAAATTGTAAAAATGGGCCCTTTTAATTGGGGACACCCCATATAATAATGGTATTTTGTAAGATTATTGTACAATACATTGATGTTTTCTAGAATGAATATAAAATTAAGGTTCTTATTTAGAATACAAAATATATACTACTGTAATACGAAAGCTTGCATCTTTCTACACCGATAACCAAATTTTCTTTTTATATAAATACGATATTCGAAGTGAAACGAATCGGTTAATCAAAATCAAAAAGCACAGAACGACAAACATGTGCTAGAGTTTATAAAACGTAAATGAATCCATAAAACATTATTTTTCCTTCTTAAATAGATGACCAAATTCCAAGTCGGAAAGCAAAATTTTACTAGTCCTACATGCTACAAAAAAATTAATTTTGCTATAATCTAACTAGCTAGTTTTATTGCTTAATGCCGGCCAAGTATTAATGCATTTAGGCCATAAATTTCCCTTAATATTAAAATGGATGCCGATTTTATCGTTACATATCTTTATCCAAAGATACACAGCGTGTCGCACAGGACCATTACGATCAACTACTAATACTAAATCTATTACACCGGTTATAAGAGCGTTATACACTGATTAATTTAACGTACGTAAATAAAATGAACCATAGCAGATAGCTGATAGCACACTAGTACAATAAACACTATACTGTAAATCAAATAATTTATTTAAATACACCAATTACATACTCGTTGAAGCTTCATTTGTTAGGCGAAACCTAGGGGTTTCGCATTAGCGAAGGTCCAAAAAAATTTTTTTAAAAAAATGCATAGTGGAAAACTGGTGAAACTGGCGAAATGTGGCGAAACAAACGAAACTGAAAATTGGTTAAAATATATTAAACTATACATTAAAGACAAAAAGGACTTTTAATACTTAAAAGACTTATGATACTAATTTTAAGACCAATTTTAAGACATATCGCTCTTATAATTAGACCTCAAGTAAATAAAAGATCGTCACCCCTTTAAAAAATAATTAACCATAGCTGCCGAAACAAAATAGTCACGGTAGATCCTCGATTTTGATTGGCTAACGGCCGAGGTTCTCAAAAGTTTGGCCCGCATTACATAATTGTTTACTAATTTCCGGCCGGAATTACTTTTTAATTTTTTCTTTACAAAATTGGAAATTTTTAAAAAATAAGCCCACATTATGGTAAAATTGGCCCAGGACCAATTTTCACTTAATAGGCGACTGTGATTTCATTAGTTAATTTCCGAATAATTCTGGCTTAATTTTATGTTCGTTGAATCTTCTGTGACAATTTTGTTGCTAAAAATAGATACTGTGGCTTATGCACGCGGGATCAGCCGACTAAAAGTTAAAATTTCCGGAGGTCAAAATTTCCTGGGTTACAGTAGAAACCATTATGGCTTATGTTGTAACCATGTACTGTAGTTTCTACTGCATCAAATATCAGTTCTTTCGATTATGAATACCATTTACAAGCTAAGGGGAATTTACAAATAAGGGCCTAATATTCAAAATAATTATGGATAAGAGCCCAAACTAAAAATTATTACGTATAGGCAGTGCCGTCACATAGATATTTTGCCGGCCAAATTTTCGAAAAAGATTTATTTGGCCGAAATGGTTAAAAGTTTATATAATATAAACTAGTTAATATGATTGGCTAATATTACAAAATTAGGAATTTTTGGCCCATTGGCTGGTTAGCCGCAAAAATTGCCACACGTATTACAAATAAGGGCCCATCCGGTCTCCGAGACCAAGCTACAAGTGCAAGTCACGTGACTTGTGATTTTCATTTACTACGGGCGCAAAACTTACCATTTTGATACTCTTGTACTTACTTTCTTGATACTGATTAGTGATTGGACCTCATAGGAAGACATTTATATGATTGGTTAATTTTGCCGATCTACCCGTGATTGCCCGTGATAATTAACCAATCAAATTACGTGATTTTTTTAAAACATATCATTTTAATACTAGAAAACGAAGAAAACCTCGCTTAAAGAAGCTTACAAACCAATAAATTACATGCAAAGAACTTATCGCATAAAATTAGAAGCCCGACTCGTAAAGTGGAATGAATTAATGTAATATTTATTATTAAATACTAGGGCTGTTAATCAGTCCGTCAGGTCCATCCTGGTTAAAGACTGCTAGTCTTTTAAAGAATTGGACTGGACTGCGGTCCAGGACCAAATAGGACTGGATCAGATGGACCGATGATTAATATAATACTTTTTGCTATAATGGTATAAGAATCTTAATGTATTTATAATAAATAAGCTTTAAAATTTATAATATTTGTTTCTATGATATATAAGATGTAATAATTATTTATTAATTATGTTTGATAATTTAATTTATATATAAATTATGATTTAGAAAATAATATAGAATAGAAATGTAGCAAAATAAACTCTTTATTATGTTTCAATCATGATTAAAATCTATGCTGGATTGAGAAGATATTTTGTTACTTTTAATTGCTTAATATTGTTTTTAAATTTGCTTTATATTTATTACCTTATACTTTCTTATTATCTTATTGCATATATGTATAAATAAAAATTATCTTATTAAAATCGCAGGTTATACTTAATACAGATTTTGAACAATATACTGTGTTTGCATATAGGCATTATTTCGGGACATAAGTTTGAGGTAAACTAATAGCGAATGCAAATCATAATTTTTATCATTAAAAATCCTCGGCTAAATGAATCATTAGTTCCAAGCTCATGCTCCAAAATAACGTCCATAGGCAAATTATAAATCTACTCCAATGTTGTCATTAATAAATTTCTCTATTTATTAAATTAGCAGCAGCCCGTTCTCATTATATACACATATTATAGTTTAATCTTGTTTAACAAACTAAGGGGTTTGTAATTGAAAATAACGGCCTTTTTAACTAAAAACATTCTAGAATTGGTTTAAAATGCGTATTATCAAAATTAACATGTTTTATTTGATATTTACTATAGGACCAACGATCCTTTCGGTCCAGCCTAAAAGGGACCGGACTGGCCCAATCCCTGGATGGACCGAAGGATCGTTGGTCCGGACCGGATTGATTAACAGCCCTATTAAATACCCAACACATAAAAGAGTTAATACGTGAATAAATTATTAACAAAACTATCTTTATTAGCTTTTGAAAGCAATTCGATTTTATTTCATTATCATGACCTTTATTAGAGGTACAACACGACCTTTAGCCCATAAAATTAATGAAACAATAGTACTCATATACCGTACATACTATCAACCTACTACTTAACCTGAAGTTACTAATGTTTCACTCTATAATATTCAAACTACATAAAATAAATAAAATAAGAGCATTAGTATAAGCTTTTTATTATAATAGCATGCTAAACAGTATAACAAATTTTTTTAGGTTTGGATCTTATGCATAATGTTTCAATCTTCTTTTTTTTTTGTTGGCTATTTCCAGTATTTAGAACTTACATATACAGATGACTAATACTATAATAAATAATAAAAATATTCGCTTCTAAGTAAAGTAAGTGAGAAGTGGAATTCTTTTTGGATTCTTTTGCACAGTGAATATTAACATTCGTCTAAAGCTAATAATGACTTTTGCACCAATTTTTTATTAGTGAAATGTTATGTTTTCAAAAAGTACTTTAAAGTGTATAAATAAGTTACTCAGGCAATTGATTTACATCAGCTAATCATATAAAAGTCCTTCTATGAGCACAATGCTATTAAAGAAATATATCAATTCTGTATTAAGAATTCCTTGAATATATTTTTAAAATAACTGGTATTTACTAGATTGATAGCATCTATAGCTATAATCGGTTAAATCTACTATACCTTTTGACTTGCTATAATGAAAATTGACAAATTCAGGGTGTAGGTAAGATTTTCCAGGTCTCGTGATTAATCGATCTCTGATCTTGATCGGGATCTTTCTTGTTACATGGATCAACATAAATAAATACACTTTTTTTTTGATTAATAATTTAATTAATATTTCTTTTTATTTGTATAGTGTTACTGTTTATTGTTGGTGTTGTCATTTCTTTTCACTGTTAGTATTGTCGTCGGTCTTATTTTTGGTTTATTATCAGTTTGTTTGCCACTTGTTGTACTTGTTATAGGTAAGGCATGAATGTCGTTAGTAAGGCATTGCTTTTGCCAGTACAATATCACATTTGTTTGTACTATATTTTGTTTCGTTAGTAACAGTTTCTTCTATTGTCATTTCATCAAGTCTTTTTTTTTTTTAGTGTTATTTCATTGTTGATATCGTTATCTTGTTATGTTTATATCAGTAGAGGGTGCTGTAATTAATAGGAGGGTTAGATAGTCGTGTGAGATTAGGGTAGAGGTTAGGAATGTAAACTAAACTATTTGGAACGTCCCAAATTATGTGATAACTAGTATCATATTAGGTTAATACTATTTATCACGCAATTTGGAATAGTCTAAATAATTTGGTTTGTATCGCTAATAGAGGTGCAGGATTAATGTTAAGAGTATTAGGTAGGTTTGATGTAAAAATAATTTATGTAATTGAAGATAATTATTAAATAAAATTTATATATGAAATGATAAGAAAAAAAAAATAAAAAGATACATTATTATTGACATAAACAAAATGCACTTGTTAATTAATAAATTATAAGTATATAGCTTACAAGCTAGTAATTTAATAGAATTAATAAAAAGGTAAAATTTAAAATTGCATAAACATTTTTAGAACTTTATATTTACTTTTTAGCAGTGTTGTACATGGGACGTGTCTACACTATGTAAAATATCCAATATTTAAGATTGTTCAAAATCATCCAAACCTATATCCCATGTTTAACTAATTAATAAAGTAATTTAAAAAAATATATAATTATATATTTTTTTAGGTGCTAAACTTATTGGTGAAAAAATTAAGATAGATTATCTTAATAAAATTTTGAGTAATTTTAATTTGAAAAAATGTCTAAAAATATCTAAAATTGTCTCATATACAACACTACTCTTTAGTAATTTAATAAAAGAGTGTTATTAGAGAATTATTATAAACTGATAATTCTAGAAACAATGTTTATAAACGAAAATAAATATGTTTATAGATTAAGGTTAGGGTTATAAATAAAAAAAATAATTTAAAATAAATAAAATAAAATAATTTAAAATAACAAAAATAATTTAAAAAAATTAAAATAAAGCAAATTTTTTTTTTAAAAAAATAGATCATTTTTAAATTAATTATTTATTTAATGTTTTAGCTTTTTTTAAATTCGTTTAATTTTAATTATTTATTTAACAGAATTGGAAAGCAACTCAGAGATAGTATTTTTTGAGTAAGAAACATGAGAAGAGGAGAATATATAATAATTATTGAGGTTATAATATCAAATGTAGTAGTTTTGGGTGGTTGGGTTAATAGTCAGAAATTATTTAAATTATTTATTTTTTTTAATTTGTCTTAATTTAATTTAATTTAATTTATTTTGTTTAAAAAAAATCATTTTATTTATTCTAATTTATTCATTTTAATTTGTTTTTAGAAAAATAATTACTGGAACAACCACTACTAATTATTTGGGAATAATTCTTGTTTATTTTCTAATTGTTTTTTTTTCTTTACGCACTAATACTAACCTTAAATACTATCTACTCTAATATAATACAACTATCTAACCCTATCCCTTATCTAACACTAACTCATCAATTACAGCACCATGATACCTAACGAAACATTAAAAAAAAAAGACAAAACAACAAAACGACAAAATGATGAAATGATGAAATGACAAACTGACAAAATAATGAAATGACAAAACGGCAACACTATAAAAAAAAAAAAACT